TCACAATCACCTCCCGTGCTGGGCCACCACGCAGCCTGTCCACTCTCCAAAAACCGCTGTTCCTCTGCGTGTGCATGTCCCACGCCAACCCAAGCCAGCCGCTCCTTCTAAATTTACCTTCAGCACCGCCAAGGCCCTCAGTCTGAGCCACCTGCTCCCTGTTCTTCTCAACATACTCCTCAAGGTCCAGGGGAAGTCCGGCCACCTCCTCGAAGCCAAGTGCCTGCCCTCTTTCTTCACACCAACCTCCTCTTGGTGCTTTGCGTTCTTGGCTGGACTGCAGCCCCTCCAGGGCAAGGACTGTTCATCTTCCTCCTTGTTGCAACTTCCAGAGCCCAGAACAGGACCACGCGCACCGAACCAATGCCTCGTGCAGAACACAGCAGCACAGAGCAGCCAGGGTGGCTTGGAGTGGACGCAATCAGCCTTCTTCAGATATGGGACAGGGGCCTGAGGTCTCCTGCTTATAGAAGGCACGTACTTTAAGCTGGGTTCTGTCTGGTTGGGGGCTGCCTGGGGCCACCCTCACTCTCTCACTCATTGGCGGGGTTTGGGGTAGACTCTGGCTAGGGAATACAGCAGATGCATCTGCACCACCTGGGCGGTGTCTAACTGGTGAGCATCCCAGAAGGTGGTCCTGGTTTGGGTGGGCACTCGGCAAATGTCCCTCCCCCGCCATCCTTGGCCTCATTAGCTTCAGATCTTTGCTGTGTGAGCTGAGAGGAGACCCAGGGACACAGCAGAGTAAAATACATCAAGGCTGATTTCAGTAAGAAGGAGGGAGAGCTGAGGAGAGGCATTCAGAGGGCCCACGTGTGGGCAGGCAGCGAGGGAATGGGGCAGACGTGGGTGGTGGGATGGGTGGACCGGGGGGATGGGGTGGACAGGAGGACAGCAGTTGGGAGGAGGAATGTGGCCGCACCACTGGGCTGTGTGGGTGGCAGGAGATATGGCGAGAAGCCCAGAGAGGCTGTGCCTCCTTCAGCCCTGGCTGTCCTGGCCCAGGTCTGACAGCATCCTTGGGAGGGATGGGAGGAAGAAAACAAGACAAGCGTCGCTACCTGTTTGTGCTGGAAAAGGGTATCCCACAGGGCCGGCTGTGCCTCCTCTTCACCCCACACACAAGGCTCCCAGGGCCCCTCCCTCCTTCCCCACTGGAAACAGAGCAAGTGGGGCCTGAGAGTCTAGGGAGGAACTGACTTTCAGAAGGAGCAACATCATTTTAAATAGCACCCCTGTGTGCATGGTGTGACTGCTGCTCTGCAGAGGGTGGGGGTGGGCAGGGGAAATCCTTTAGCTCAGCTGGACTGGAGGCTCCAGAGAGGGCCTGGGGTTGTGGGCGAGCCCATTCCGTGCTATACAGAAAAAAATTTGTTTTTTTAATCTATTTTTACATATAGTAGTTAATATTTGCAAATCTCAAACTCCCAATTTATCCCTTCCCATCCCCTTTCCTCCTGGTAACCATAAATTTGTCCATTTAATCTTTCTGGTAATTTCCTATTTGATCCTCATAATAGTCCTGCAAGCTAGGCATAATTTGTTTATTTTTATTTTTAATTTTTAAAAATGGAGGTATTGGGGCTTAAACCTAGGATCTGGTACATGCTAAGCACATGCTCTAACACTGAGCTATACCCACCCCCACCCCCACCCCCAGGTAGGCATAAATTATAAGATTCTCATTTTACAGATGAGAACACTGAAGTTCAGAAAGGTTTGGTGAGTTGCCCAAAGCCAGGAGTTTAGCTGGAACTTGAACCCAGGTTATACCGATTCTCAAACCAGCGTTGTTTTTCTTTTTCCCTCCTCCCTGCACCAACCCTCTTCAGGGGACATTGTCTCATCACTCCCTGTCCCCAGAACTCCCACAGACCCTCTCCCTTCCACTTCCATTGTGGGTGCTAGCAGACCGTCACGAGCTGGATTAGAAGGTAACTACTAGCCGCATGTGGCTATTTACATCTAAATTAATTAAATTAAGTAAAATGATAAATTCAGCTTCTCCCTTTGGTCACACTAGCCTCATTTCACATGCTCAGGAGCCACAGGTGGCTGCTGTATTGGACAGCACAGAAAGTGCTATGGACAGTGCTGGGCTGGGCTCAGAAGCAGAACGGGAGACGGAAAGAAAGGCAGAAACCAGCTGAGGAGAGGGCTCCAGGGTAGGGCTGCCTCTGTGAGGAGTCTGAGCAGGTATAGAAATGAGAGTCTGGGGGAGGGGAGCAGGGAGAGGGCTGGGTGGGCCTGGGGGAGGAGGACAGAGAGCCTGACTCCCAGGCCCCTCCCTCCGATACTGATACTCTCTCTGCAATACCACTGAGCAATTAATTGGCTGGGGTGGGGCCAGGGTCAAAGCAGGATGGAGGGGAATGCGATGGAGGAGGAACCGCCCCCCTCTTAGCAGATCTCAGGGCTCTGGTCCTTCATCCTTTAGGGACCTGGGAGTCTGCTGACCCTCCTTTACCTTTTTTTTTCTATTATAGACAAATCTATTCACAGTATGCTTGACTACATTACAAGTAAATTCATATGGCAAAAGAAAATGAATTAATACAGAACATAGGAAACTATCCCCCTCCCCATGTTTTAAAATGTGCTGCAATTTTCACGTTCAAAATTTTATGCATCTAAATCTAAAACAAAATTATATGGAATACTCTTAAGATATACAAACTGATAATAATTGACTGTATTTTTTACTCTAATAGGAGCGAATGACCACATACTTGAACAAAGTTAAAATACTATTTCTTTATAATAAATGTGATGAATGATTTACTTTACTTGTGTTTTTTCATTAGTTGATAAATATAATATATGCAATCCACAACCCAGGCACGAGCTGGCTGCTTCCTGTTCGCTCATCCAGGCCAGGCAGCCAGCTAATGGGCGGCAGGGCCACCACCTTCCCATTTAGTCTCATTAGCCTCTTGCTCACCCACTGCAGTCAGGGTCACCCCGGGGCAGGGGCTGTGAGTGGCCTGTGAGTAACCCAGGCCCAGCTATGACAGGGGTCCCCAGCCCAGGCCTGCCCCTGGGCTGAGGCCCTGGTGTCTAGCACCTCGCCTACTGTCCCTGGAGCACCCCCCGGAAGGGAGAGGTCAGGGAACTGGTTTTGGAGTGCAGACTCTGAAGGCACACTCACTGATGGAGCACATTATAGCTGTGGGCAGTGACAGCAGTGGGGCACTCAATGAGGGGTGCAGATATTTATATCTGGAGGAGAACAGCGGAGGGTGAGTGATGGATGGGTCCCAAGGAGAAGGGCAGATCTAGAGGCTGTGGATGGGAACCCAGGTGGGGTTAACCACGTGGCGGGGCTGGGGGCTGCAGCAGGTACCTGGTGTGGAAGGGAAAGTTGAAATGCCCATGTCTTGTGCATGGAGGAAGGATAGGGAGTCAGGCAGGCCAACCCTGGGGAAGGCAGGAGAGTGAGGGAGCCAGGCGCCTGGGCCCCTTGGTGAGAGTGGCCGCCCCAGAGTGGGCGGCTGTAGAGGCAGAGCGCCTGGTTCCGAGTTAGGCAATGAGGGGCAGGCCAGCCAGGTGGCCCCGGTACCCCAATGGCAGCCATCTCTGCTGCTGAGTAGGCAGATGCTCGAGCTGATTACTTCGGCTCCTCCCGGCCACACCAACTTCCCCCCAGGCACCTATCCCTCCGCCTCTCCTCCCCTCCCCACATGACTCCTGCCCAGAGAATGTCCAGCCCTGGCATAAAGGCCCTGGGTGTCCACGAGTTGCTGTCAGTCAGAAGGCCACAAGGTCCAAGATGGGCTCTTCGAGAGCATCCCAGATAGGGCGTGTGGGAGGGCGAGGTATGCTGGCTCTGCTGCTGGCCGGTCTCCTCCTGCAAGGTAGGAGTGGGGGACCCTGGGTGCAGGGAGAGTGGTGAGAGAAGGGAGGGAGGGATGCAGACACTAGGTCCAGGAATGCTGGAGGGAGCTGGTGTTGGGAGGGATGCCATTGTGTGAGGAGCATCCTGGAGGGGACCCAGTCAGCTGGGAGGGGGCAGCTCTGAAATCTGATGCTTGAGTCTGGGGTTTGCTCGTCATTGCCTTGGCACCTCAGGCAAGTTAAAATTTCTGAGCCTCAATTTCTTCTTCTTTTTCTTTTTTTTCTTTTTTTAAGTTTGTACTTATAAAACTTTATTGTCTTAATCCATTTATTATCACCCCTTTGAAACTTAAGCCCTGCAGTGTAGTCTCAGTTGCACTGGTGAGCCCTGAGTGACAGGTTCACTGCTTTACGGCCGGACAGCCTCTGTCCATGGTAGACGATTGTTTGTAGTGGGTTTTGCTCTTTTCTGAATGACTGTAACAAAAGTCTTAGTTTGGCTGAATAACTTATTTTGCTTCGTCCACTAACTTGCTTTATCCTAGCTGAGCTTTGCTATTCAAGAGCAGGAAGCTCCGGATTTCTGCTTCTGGACAAGTTTGTTTATGAGCCTTTCCCACCTCCACTACTGCTTTGTCTCCCTTTACAAGTTTCTGTGGTGTGTAAATCTGGTCATTTTTACTGACCATTACTGCAGGCCGAATTCTTCCCTATAAACCTAGAATTTTGTAATCTGGGTGAGCCTCTGTTTCTGAAATTCTAAAGTGAGGTAAATGTTAGCATCTAGCTGCCGCTTCTCTGTGAGTCTCTAATTAAATAATGGATGTGACAGTGCTTTGGAAATTCTAGAGGGTTATATAATGTTGGTGGTGGTTGTTATTATTAGAATTAGTATTATTATTAGAGTGCTAGAAAAGTGCATGTTTAATACTCATAATAACTGCTACCATTCATAGAGCCCCTTTAATGTGCCAGACACTGAACTAGCACTTTAAATACATCAGCCCTTTTGATTATTAGAAGAACGACTTGAGAGATTTCTTATTCTCTACACACGAGGACACAGGGGTTTGGAGAGGGTGGGAAACTGACTCAAGGTCACAAGTTAGAAAGCGGTTAAGCTGGGATCCAAACCCCAGGCTGGGTGACTCCAGGGCCTGTGCTGTTGACACTGGTGACCTTGCCCGTGGCCCCCCAGCAGGCTGTGTGGCTTCCAGGGAGTAGAGGGGACAGCGGGGGTGCTAGATGATTTGTGCAGCTGAGTGGAAGGGGCTGCAGGCAGAGTTGGGGGTTGGTGTGGAGGTGGAAGCATGGAATTTCTTTTTAAGAGTGGGGACTTCACAGATTGTGGAGAGCTGGTTGTAGGCGGAGGGGTCTAGGAGGAGTGGCAGTAATAAGTCTTAGTGGCTAGTGCTCTATGTTTTTGTAAAGAACCTTCTGCAGAGATGATCACATTTAGTGGTCACAGTAACACCGCGAGGGAGGTAGGGCAGATCCGGCCTCTCCAATGTACAAGCGAAGTATGTGGCTCTGTCCACGCCCCTGGGGGCTGAGGGGGTTGAGGTGCAGAGCAGAGGGAGCATGGGGGAAAGTGAGCCTGGGTTAGGAGCAAAGGGTCAGTTCAGGAAAGAAGTAAAGGCAGGAGTGACCAGACGTGGGCCTGGGGACAGGCAGCTGTGTGCTGGGATGACTGGGCGGGGAGAGAGGGCAGTAGAGAGAGGCCAGTGGCCTCGGAGGAAGGTTTCATCCCGCGGTCCCTGGGCTGGGCCAGGAGAGCAGGGGTGGCTCAGGGTGAGGTGTCTGGTCATGCTGGTACCAGCAGGTTCTGAAGCAACAGTGCATGCCCCTACATCCTGGCCCCCACCCATCTTCCCTGGCATGGGCAGCGCTGAGATGGGAAACAGAATTCCCATCCTTTACCCAAGCCTGGCCTCTCGAGGGGAAGCCAGTGACCATAGTCCTCAAGTGCCCCCATCCTTCACTGCAGTCCCTCTGTCCCTGGCTTTCTCTTTTGTCAGCCTCTCTTTGGCTGTTTTTCCTGCCTTCTCAGTCATCTGTCCTTTTGTCTCATCTCTCCCCCTTCCACTTGGTCCCACAGTCTGGCTGGGATTTCTTCCCTTGAGATTTATGCCTCCACCTCCCAGAGGTTGTCCTTTCTTTTAGACCTCTTTGTTTCTGCCACTTCTCTGTTCCCTCTTATCTTCCTCTGAGGCCTCCTGCTTTGGAGCCTCATTTTCTTTTTCTCTGGTAGATGATTGTCTTCCTTCCCACCTCTCCTCTCCTGCCATCTCACTTTCCTTGATTCCCTGGGCTCCTCTCGAGAGAGACCAGAGTAGCAGATGACTGAGGTGGGCCTGAGAGGGGAGGGAGACAGCCCAGCCTCTCTGGGCCTTACTAACCACTGTTTTCCTCCCTAGGGACCATGGCCAAGAGCATCGGGACCTTCTCAGACCCCTGTAAGGACCCTACACGTATCACCTCCCTCAATGACCCCTGTCTCCTGGGGAAAGGTGGCTCCAGCAGTTCCAGCAGCTCCGTTTCCAGTTCCAGTGGCTCCAGTGGTGGCTCTAGTGGCTCCAGTGGCTTCGGTGGCTCCAGTGGTTCCAGTGGT